CCAGTGTGCGGATTCAAGCCCTGATCATCGTTTCTGCTGCGTCGAGACTATGGCATACGCAGCCATACAGCATCAAACAGACAAACACGGGTGGTCGCAAATTGGTTGAACAATTGTTGGTCTTGTGACAGCGTGAAAACATTGGGCTTCTAATTGCATTTCTGACCGTCATATATTTCAAGAACACGGTTATTTCGAACAAACCTCGTTAAATTATAAACAAAGCACCACATCAAGCAATCAAACAGACGAAAACACGGTGGCCGCAAATTGGTTGACAAAGATATTATCGACGTATCGGAAATGCACACCCCCTATTCCCCTCCTTCAAATGTAGAAACGCGAAAACTTTCAAATATGGTTAAAGAAACACAACTCATACCACCTGTCAAGTTTTCATCTTTTTAATTTCTCATATTTGTATGGATTTTCAAGCTTTTGACAGCTACGAGTTAGTTCAGTGGTCACCCGCGCTGTGTTACGTACCAGAATTCTCTATCTTTAGAAGGTCCTGTCTTGTGACAGCGTGAATTGAAATTGCAAGATGGTCGTTGGAACACAAACTGGCGTCCGATAACCGCAGAACGTTTAGTGACGTCATAGCAACAAAACAATCTTACAGAGCTAACAGAATATTTGAAATAAATAAAAGTAATAGCCTTCTGGAGAAAAATTTCATCTTCAACCACTGAAAATTTCAAAGCAATTAGTCCAGGTAATCAAAGAGAAAAGCGACTTTTTAAAAACGTGTCAAAGAACAAGAACAAGAACAACAACAACAACATAATATTGAAACGATCGTTATGTCCACTACGTGTCCAATAAACGACTTCAAAATAACTTTATATATGTATGCACACAAAGATACGGTCATGAGTGTAGTGTAGCATAGTTTACACTAAATTTCGCTCAAATTTTGTGCGTGGAATATCGTGTTAACTTTTTCTCCCATTTGAAGCTCATATCAACGGAAACGTCGGGAGGAACCTAAATAATTCTTCCCTTTGTATACCTGTGCGAATATTTCATTCGAATAATTGGAGGAAACTCTGACATCCCAGATTACTAGCGTTGATCAGCCATATTCAATATGAAGTAAGACTTCAGTGCCTTCCATTTTCTAAGAAGATTTTTCTCTTTATCGCTCTCTAGTGAACGTGTTGCTCGTACTATGCGATAGGGACTTTGGATAATAGGCTAAAATGTGAAAAATACACAACAACAATATATCTAATAAAAAAAATTCTGCAATTTTGATTAATACTTTTTTCTGAAAATATAGGTCTTTTTAATTTTGGTGACGTCATCGCACGCAAAAAATCCCTGAGACATCACATGAATTTCTGAAATACCGGTTAATTAAAGTAATACAAAGCCTTCTAGCAAAAATACAATCTTTGACCAATGAAAATGTCAAGTAATTGGTTCCTGTAGTTGATGAGAAACGAGATATTTTCACAACAATAAGAACAAGAATACAAAACGAGAATACGTCCACTCTGTGCCCGGCAAATATTTGGGATTTTGTAGTTTTGTCGGTTAATGTTTAATATTAGTAAAAAAAATCTCTAGACTAAAAAATCCACCTCAAAGAAATTGAAATGTAACAAAATAATATTCATAACATCAAACAAAAAATGAAGCTATGTTAAACAAGGATGGTTTGAAGATGAGCAAATCATTCAGTGACGAAACCATTTTGGTAAATGTCTTGCCTATGTTATAAATTAAATTGAAGTTAAATTATGAGATTTGTCTCTACAATGAAACATATTTCGCCACAATACAGGACTCGCGACCGTCACGGCCGGGAAAAAATCAACAAGTCGTAATTATTGATAGCTCGACGAGTGCGGCGCGCCAGTTTACACACAGAAAAATCGTGATTTAATGTGGGCGAAAGCTCGAGTTAGCCCAGGTGCGCTAGCGCCTGCCAGTCTGGCAGATTGTTGATTTGCCTGCCCTCAAAATTCGGAGGAAAACAAAATACGAGAGAAATATAAAAAGCTTTGGCCCCATGACTTTTTTATGATAGAATTTTGCCACTCTCGAAAAATTCCTTCACACTTTCCCACTCTTTTCTCGTTTTTTTTTTCTGTAAATCTTTCCCCGAGACGAGATATTTAATTGTGGAAGAGTTTTAGGAGAGAAAATTTGACAAATCCACAATTTTTAACGATTATCAAATTTTTAAACAGCTGAGTCGTAGCGAGCATAGGGTTAAAGAGCGTGTGCCGACGCGTAATGAATTGAAGAGGCGCAACAATTTAACCAGGTGCCTTGGCGCCTCTCAGTCTGAGCATGTCGCCTATTAACTGACTTTGATATATCGCGCCTGCGATTGTTTAACTACATTTAAGTTTCTCTGGATAAACTTTTCATGGCTAAACGCAGGTGGTCATATATTTCCAAGCGGCATCCTAGCGCTCAGCTGCAGTTCATAAATGACATTAAAACACCGCGTACGATTTTCACGCTGTCGACTTTTATTTGCTGTCCCTCGCAGGGAGAAGAAAATATTTCGAAATAAAATTCAATACGAAAACGTATACTATTACAGTAAAACTGCGTTATTTTGTATGTGTTGGATTTTCCTTTCAAGATGTGCATTGGATAAATCGTTAGATAGGGTATTTTCATGTCATTTCCGGCAATAACAATTTGAGAAATGGTAATATTTTGTCAATATCTTAGCATATCCCTCACCTGGTACAATTCATTTTATTAATAGATAGATCTGATGGGAATTTAGAGCATTTTTAATTTACTTTTTCGAGCTTTTTGCCGAAATATACAAAACAATTTAAAATTTTGTAAGAAAAATAAAAAAAATATATTCAAATATCAACAAATTCGATTGCAAGGCATTGCTAAAAGGCTAAATTTGCTGTGCTCCGAAATATTTAAATTGTAATTTTAAACACTCATACGCATACGTTGAATTACATTGCTCATACATATCCCATACTTTTTGCGACAAAACTAAGCAGTATTAAAAGCCTAAAGGCGGTTAATTATGATATGGCGGATACTGGCAAATTATCTTATGACGTATCATGATGATGAATTGAGCAAAATCAAATTAATATTTCATTATCAATTTTGGTAACTTTGCCTTTTCGATGGACATCATGCGAAGATAAGTTGATTAATTGATTCCTCATCCAGGTGCACTGCAAAACATATAGTAAAGTAAGATGGAAATCGTTCGCAAACTTGCCTCATAATCATCGAAACGCAACAAAATCTAACCTTTACTCAATCTTCTTTATGAATAAATTATTCAAAACAAAATTGTGTTCAAAAAAAAAATATATGTTCAATATGTATAATGTAGCTCACGCGCATATTTAACTGCCATTCAATTTTCAGTTTTTCATACTGCGCCCATTTATATTCTGTACCACGCTGAGAAGATCTGTATTTACTTTCCACGGACGTGTATGAGCTGTTGCTGGGCCGAGTCATTTATACATATATATAGTAGGCCCGTCAAATACGGACACCACTATAGCAAAATCTCAATTTCTCGTTATCTTTACCATATAGAAGCGTGACTCCCGTATTAAAATAACCAATTTGAATGTGCCCTACAGCCCACTGTCGCTTTCGGCAATCCGACTAATATTTTGTTAGATATGAGCATTTTTTCCCAAAAAATTTATTCGGGTAAAACGGACACATGGATGGGTAAAACGAACATTAAACAAAATTAATTGAAGACACTACTAAACTATTTGAATGCGTATAAAACACCTAAAAAAATCATAAATAATAAGCCTCGAGAATTACAGTGGAGGCAAGCAATGATTCTCATATTACCCCACCAGACATGAAAACTTATTAATCATCCAGGCATGTACTTGCAACCGAACAAAAGCTTTGCTAATGCATGCACAAACCTTAGTTGATCAACTGAATGTCCTTTACCATAAATAACATAACGAAATTAACCTAATGAAACAGGCAAGTTATTTATATGTAAATTATTACTGGCATTCCTCACATGTGAAAGCTTGAACGTTTCTGCCATAAACACCAGCACAAATGTCATGAAACCATCTGAGGCATTGCTGACATTGTATCCACCCCTCATCATCGTAAAAATTGTCTTCACAAAACCCACAAACATCACTATTTCTAACAGCCTTGGCAGATTTTTTCCTGTTTATAATTCTTCCTACTTTGACCTTACTCACATGGCCTCTATTTTCTTGGACCCTGCTTTTGCTTTTTTTCTTAGTTATAATACCAGATTCCTTTTTATTTTCTAGAACTGCTAGTTCTTTCCTATATCCTTCACTGGTGAGTATTCTTGTACCAGTTATGATCGCTTTCTCACGAGGTGGTTTTAGTCGAGGTGGGGCCTTCGAAAAGGGCAGAATTTCTTCAAATGAAGTGTCACTCAAATGCAATAAACTATCCTCTGGAGATGCTACTCTGTTGTTCTGTAGAGATTTGCTGCCTAAACTTGGGACCTGATGTTTGCTGAATAGTTTTACTGCAACAAGGTGAATCATTGTCAGTTTGCTGCAAACCACATGCAACAAAATTATTACTTGTCGACGAGCTAGTAATGTTGAGCGGTGGTTGGGAAGTGATGTTGCTACTTGCTAGGCTCTCCTAAATCGAGGTTTACTAAAGTTTGACAGGGACAAGTTTCCGTATCGTTCCCGAACGCCACTCCACCAGTCTTTTCCAGCCATTTTAGCAGATTCTGAAAATTTATTAGAAATTTTGTTCACCATTGCAAATTCATAAGCCAACTTTCGAATGTCTTTAACCATTAATGGGAAGCCTCTCCTTTCAAATTCGAGTATATGTTGCAAAAGATCCTTTTCGTTCTGGCCCAAGGTAGGAGACAACCAAGACTCCGTGATCCCGGGGCATGCTTCAGTGTTCGATAAACATGACAGCGAAGTGTAGCCCTTGGAACTGAATATGTACGTGCTTCAGTCGGGAGTTTTCCTTCGCTTTGTACCATTTCAATTGCTTTTTTCATGTTTTTTCCATCCATTGACATCTTTTACTACTTCTCTTCCATTTACGAAGCATAATTCCTGAACAACAATTCAAAATCTGAGACAATGTCCCTTTTGGGGTGAAATGGACACTAAAAACAAGAAAGCATATTGTTTTGGACTGGTAGACTGAAATGAAACAACTTATATCCCAAATAAACACAACTCAGATAGTGTGTAAATCTGACTACTTTTTATTTTGTAATTGCATAACAACAGAACCTAAGATGAAAATTAAAAAAAATCACCCCCCTAATTGTCATGACGTCATGAAGTTTATTTCGAGCTCCCACAAGCAATCATCTGCGCAGTCAGAATATGCAAACGCCTTTAAAACCTCATGAGGTAAAGTAAAAAAGAAATAAAATTGTTTATTACCTTATAGTTGGTGTTTTGGTCCCACAACTGACGTTGAAACTCAATATGATAGTAAATACCCACTTTTTCGCCCCTCCAAAATCGAACCCGTCAGAAAATCGCAAGCATGTTGACGAGATTTGCGGCTATGGCGACGTATTCGCTTCAGCAAAACTACGCTTAGTTACGTAACAAACGAGCAGTGAAACCGCCGCCGTAGCTCTTATGGTGTCGCTGTGAGATCAAATCGAAAAAATGTGTCCGCATTACCCCGCCTGTCCGTTCTCCCCCGACCTACTATATATATATATTTACTCGTCAGTCAAGCACGATTTTGTGTTAGCTATATTACAATATGCTCGAATTATATATGAGAAGAGTATAGTCCATTTACTTGATAGACATAGAAGATGAATAGTGATAATTGGAAACTTCCGAATAACATCTGGGATTAATTAGCAACGTTCATAATTCCAGAAATATGGTTTCAAAGGATGGGCTTCAATTATCACAATTGCTTTTATAATTCAATCAGAAAACGGCTAATTTAGTAGTTTTTAGGTTAGCCATTGTCTTTTTGATGTCTAGCAAATCAACGACTCAAAAAAGAAAATGAATTTATAATGTGTGCGCTATTTATTCTCTCTAAATCTAAATGCTATTTGTATACCAGTGAGTTGTCTGAAATGAGGTCATCACTTGTTATTTTTTAGAAAGTTTTTATCAGCTCCATCTACCAATTGGTTCTATGTTGATGATAAGAAGGTATATGATGTGTCTTCTCAGTGTCACGTATTGAATTACTAATTTTGTAATAAAAAGAAATTTTCAGGTATGGCAATGTCATCCAGTTTTTTTTTCAGTTTTTTATTGTTATTTTACACCTATGGTCCGAATTGATACAGCAACTATATGTTTATATTTTGTAACGGTGTAATAAAAAGTGGATGAAATGAAGAACCGCTACCGTTTCTGGGGACACTCGTTAGAAAATAAAATATTAAATACATCATTTCTTTTGCAAGTCAGACGCACTCCTGAAAATGAAGCACTTTCTTGGCAACAAAATGCTCATTTATGCGCTGCATATTATCCACTCTTGACTAAGTACATGAAAACCGTTTTCTTGTGACCTTAAACCCAAGTTTACCAACGCAGATGTTACTAATGGAGCAATCAATCCAAACAAAACGATTAACAAGATAATAGTGTGATGCATATACGAATCAAGCATCTGATAAGTTAATCATTAACACACAACCAACCAAGTGTGGGCTAGTATTGAAATTCACTCTTGAGGTGCAATAAAGGGTTCGGCCATGGTTGAGTAGATGTTATATAAAATTTCCAAACGATATGTAAATCTAACTATGTGTTTGTTATTCTAATGTTGTTTGTATAAAACAGGTGGCTGTATTCCATCAGATATGACATGTTTATAACTGGATGGAATTCGTCAATGCTCGGCGTAATGCTGATAAATAGCGATTTTCGAAATGACCATCAAAATAGTATTACCTGTTGATAAGAATAGATAATTTCTCAAGAATAAGCCAGTGGCATGGAATGACTCTTTAACAATTTATACCTTTAGGTATGTTTCGTGACGCTCGTATTTTCACCACTTTCTGTTCTTGACCGAAGAAGTCTTAATCGGTTTTAAGTCTTCATTTATTGCTTTTATACTTCACTTTCATCATGGTGTTCATGACCGGATAACGTTAATTTATAGCATGGCTAACCAAAGCATCGCAACAAACTTTCGAGTCATAACGCAAGACGTTGCATAGGCACTCGAAAACGGCTTCGGACAATTTCTGAAATCCTTTTCTCCTACTTTGGGAAAAGGCAGATGTGTGACCCATGATTTTTCTGATTATTCTGAATATTTTCATACTTTTTTGCTTGCAATCTGTTTGAGTAGCACACCTTTGTCAAGGATAATTATCGATTTAGATAATGTCGCGTACATAAAAATAAGATAAAATCATCAGATCAGAATAACAGATCAAAAAACGGAGAAAAATTGCACAACTGTATTTTAGTTTGGCACCTGTATATATTGACACATACGAAGCCTGTCCATCTCATTAAAATGACTACACGATATTAAAACTTGACCAAATTCTGAATTTATTGAACAAACAAGAACAACTTTTATTATCGGAATTATCGCCAAACGCTTTAGGAGAAACAAACTATTTGATATGTCTCCTCATTACATTGATATTCTAACGGCCTGAATTTGCGACATAAGTGGAAATGAAATATTTTTATTAAGCATGAACATGACAAAAAAACTGCTTTGCAGCACTATCTCTCGTCTGTCAACAATGCCAATCAAATATAAGAATAGTCAACCGGTAAATAGTTTCGTGTGCATAGACATGGGCAGTGGCGAAAACTACATCCATGCAGTGTTCCCGTGACCCATCTTGCCATATATCGCCATGACATTGTAGTTTGCGAAAAAAACAAAAGGACAATTTTTAACTTTACACCATCATTTGGTCAAAACCTTCAAAATTTACGAAAGATTTTGCTATCAGTAGTACTTCTTATTACATGCCATAATACTATTTTAATTGTAATTCTATTATTATTTGATCCACTATCAGAGTATGGCTCGGTTTAATGTCTGCATTCAAGAATTTTACAGAAAATAGTTTAAAAATGCCGAGAACGCTGTCATTCGACGGTTATGTCTCTTTTGCAATTCAAAAACTTGAAAAATTCTCACTCCAAAATCGGCATAATAACAATGAGAAATGGGCGCGAATCACAAACAGTTACATGACGACATTCTGACACTTCCGAATACATCGATTTATTCGACAATGCAATGTCGTCTTATTTTAATGATCGCCTTCTATTCACGCGATAAACAAATAAAACGTCCAGGTGTGAAATAATTAAATGCGGAAGGTTCATGAAAGGTATTTGTAAATAGTAACGATAAATGTAATTTATGGCTACAATTTCCTTGCTCACTGCTATTTATGTAATTTAATTGAAGTCAATTTCTCCTTGGGCAGTATTCCTCTAGTGGTAAATAAAGATGAACGCTGACATATGATGGAGTTTTATGAAGTTAGTAGGCCTACTTGTTCAAAATTCACTATGTGTATGATGTACAGGAAATCAATTTCATTTTAAACAAATTATAAACAAGAAAGCAATAAACAACAAGTGAACATGAAGGTAGTCCGTGGACATATGCCACTTGTTAAGCAGATCCCGCTATGTCATAGTTTCATCAATGCAAGCCTAACTTTAGGTATTGTAACGAACCCATGAACATCTTTAACAAAACTTTCAAATTTAAACTAATTGGATGTGACTTTTTTTAATTAGAATGACTCTTTATATTGCATAGTAGTAGCATAGCAATTCATCAATTTGCCAAAATGTCTATCAATAGGTCCATTTCGTCTTTAAATGTGTCATATTTAAATGTTCCTTTTTCAACTTGTATACAATTTATTACATTTGACGGGACTTTTTTTCGTTATGTGCTACGATAATCTTTAAAACAGAATTTCGAGTCAGCTTAATTTTATCTGCTTATTATATAATTCATTTATTTTAAATTTTCTAAAAAAAAAGCACGACGATTTTATTTACGAAGTCATATCAGACTTCCTGATACAACGTCATAATATTCGCCGCATTGTTGAGTCGTCTAAATTTACCAAACACTCTTCAAAGTCACTTAGGCGTTTCAAAACAAGTCTGACAATACCAATACAATCAAAACATATACCGGTCACTTGATACACAGAAAAAGTGAAAAATTTGTAGCGTTAGAATAGCATAGTAAATCAAATATTTTCATACCGCAATTGCTTTCTTTGCTCACTAAATATGAAATGTATAATACTTGGTATAATGTATAAACAAAATCCAAAACTTACGCATATAAAGCCTAAAATAGTTACATCTTTGCCAGCAACTCTAGGCCAAGTAAGTAAGCACGTTAAGACTCTTAATTCGTGACAAACGCTTCAAAAATTTCCGAGTTGGTGCAGAGCCACAATTATAATTTCATATGGAAAGTTACTGAAGCCTGATTGCATATAGCTCAATTTTCTGATAACCTCAGCTATTAGCATAGGTATCATTGCAAATTCTCATAGTTTAGTACGGACTGAACAAATAAATATCAGTATGAGCATACGCGATGGCATAAAGTTATATCTAGTAAAGATACTAGGAAATGCAGGGTGATAAATTTAGATTTCAGGTTCACTCATATGGCGGAAAGAGTAACTCGTGACACGTGGGCAATATAAACAATGAGCAGATGACTGGATCAGGACTTTTTTCTGTTTTTATAACTAAATTTTTTATGAAAGTATTTCATGGTTGTGCACCGAAGACCCAGCTGCAACTACAAAAACAATCATAAACTAGAAAATTTCAAACACCTGGATTCAATTGATGGCAAATCAAGTAGAAACGATGTTATTTGGAGAGATTGAATGAACTAGGGTTGGAGATTAACTTATAAAATTAAAATATTCCGATCTTTGTTTCCCACTTTAAATTCATTGGGTCGAATTATACAGGTTATTGCGAGTGAAACCAAATAGTCCGCTACTTTATCATGGTAATAAACGTAGGACTTATACAAATCAGCAAGTCCCATGAATCAACACTATTTTCTTATGATTTGTAAAATCAAATAGACAAACACAGTTAGATGTAGAAGTGCATACATGACGTCAATTGTCACCTGAATGTCCCCCGCCGTTTAGAGATATTGGGCTACCACAAAGACATCAATATCCGTGTATGTTGTTGTTATACGCTGTTGTGTAAACAATGCTCATACTTCTTATAAATAATCCATATTCGCTATACGTTAATGTTTGGACAACTTTTGCTTCCAATCCTAATTTTTTATATTTAGTTTTATCATCAAACTCGTTTAAAATTACTTTGTGACGTCGTTGCGCGACATTTTTATACGACAAACCACACTTTCATGGTTAACGTTAGTTTTGCTAAAACGGATGGTAATAGTGTAATAAGCAAGGCCTGTAAACGTGGGAGCAGCACTGCGTCAAGTATTACGCTTGGGAATAGCATGTATCGCATGGCGAACAGTCTTCTCCCAC